TAAAAGTGTAAATCTCTTTAGTGAAGTTTACTTCATTGTGATACCGCAAGTTTTAAACAAAATTCTTTTGAAAATTATTTACTCGTGCTGATATCTCCTCGCTTGTACTCGCCCGTGGCCGATTTGTTTGGCAATTTTGACGTGAACGCTAAATACCATTTTATTGTCATTTGTCATACAGTCATATACTCTCTTCCGAGACAAAAAATCGCGAACCATTCGGGCATGTGTTACTTTGGAAAGTTGAAAGCAGAACTCTTTTCCTTCCCAATTTGTTCTATGGAAACCATTGTGGAAGCTGTGAAAAGAATAAAACTCGTTTTATATGCGAACTAATTCACCGGAACAAAAGAGATTTCTTCCTTGATTTGCGCGCAGCGTTAGATTCAAACTTTGTCGGCCGCTTTAATGACTGGATCATTCCAAAGCAAACACCTTACATAGATTTTTGTACCACTGATGAAGTTCAATATTTTCATCTTGGTAAAATTGAGCTGACACATGTAAATAAGGACAGCTAATTTTCTCTTTTGTATTTCTTTCGTTACATATTCTTTGTTGCAGCTCCATAGATCTTGATGGGTTTTGAGACTTCTTGTCGGCGTTACTCATAAAATTTGCGCAATTATACACCGTACTTACGTAAAAAGGCTCGAAAAATTAATTTGTCTGTTGCAAATTTCTCGCAAAAAAGTAAGGTAGCTGAAAGCTTAGCATTCCATTTGATTCCCAGAGCTATCATTTGAAAGAGAGAAAAAAAGAAGCATTGTTCCAACATATTCAAGGATCAAAAATGTTTACCTATGGGGTGCGATGTGTTTGCATAAAAATGAAAACAGCCACAGTATTTAATGAGAAATGCTTTTCAGAAAATTGAAAGCCGTTATTAAAAAGGACTAAGCATTGTTCTAATTATAGATGAATTGTCATGGAATTGAGTTAAGCCTGCTCCATGAAAACAAGAAATTGGTAGCGCGCCTGAGATTTGCGCAGGCAAAATCTTGCATAGCGCTGTCCACGCGCGAAACAAAATTTGTTAGCACTTTTTTTTTCGGTTGCAAAAATAAACTCGATCCACATATAGCTCGAGAGCACAGCGAGAGGTCATGATGAATTATGATTTGATATAAAAAGAATGAGCCTTGTGGCATCCATTGTTATCGGACTTGTCAAAGCGGGTTTTGAGGTGTGCCTGATTTCCATGAAAATCGCTTGCGCACAAAGAGATCACCGGCTTAAGTAACGTTTCTTAATCAGTTATTCCTTGAACGTGCTCCTGGTCATCGCGCTAACAGTTCGTGTCTAAAAGAACTGAAATCCGCCATGTTACAACTTAGTCTTATCGACGTTAATTTTAGTCATTAAAATCCGGACCCAGCCGCTGCGACCTTAATTCAACAGTTACGACAGACTAAGCGCATTAACATAATAGAATATTTACTCCTCACACGAGATTTAGTCTGTTTAGATCAACAAATAGATGGAGTTTAGTTGCGACAAAGATAAATAAAAAGAATACAGGGATCAAATAAAGAAAATATTTATTCACCCGTGGAATTTTCAAGAATATGAATATTTGTTTTCTTGGCCTTGAAAGATTAAGCTTTAGAATGATAGATTGCCTTTCTGGTAGCTTCTTCTAAAAACTTTCCTGTGTAAAACCGTCTGCTCTTCCAAATGTCGTTGTTGGTGATTCGATTTCCTTAGCGCGAGTTTTGTCAAGGAATCAGAGAGGAATATGGGTCACTATAACAGATCTTGCTGAAGTAGCATGCATATGCTTAAACTATGACGAATAATGGAAAAAATTTAAATCAGTGTTCAACCTCTTTACACAAAATACTTTCGCAGTTGTATGAGTTACTTGTTCCGCTTTCAGTATGAGTTACTTGTTCCTCTTTGTCCGAGTTACTTTTTCTGCTTTCACCATCCGTATCTTACGACATCCTCCACAGCTTATTTCACTTTCGAACCATTTTGTAACATTGACCTTGCTTTCAGTTGTACTTCCTGTTGTTCTGTTTCTGCAGACAAAGGAGTTCTTTCCTATAGCAATTATCCGCATGCTACTTTCCACGTGGCGTCAAACAACAGCAATGCTTTTAATCAGTTCAATTCTTGAATTTGTCTGAGTTTAACTCTTGCAACGTTCATCGTATTTCTTTAATACTTTCTTTTGAAACTTTTTCGAATAACAACAGGGTCGAAACTTCGGTAACTGAAGTTTCGATTAATTATCAGAGTAGCATGTTAAATGACTGAACTGTCAGGTGTGGGCAAATGTGTGTATGCGGAGGCCAAACAACCACAGAATTACTGGTGTACTCTGCAATCTTAATGGGGCTGATAGTTGTGGACAGATAACCCTATGGCCTAGATTGTTATGGAAATCTATTATCTGTAGGGAGACAGAAAGCCATGCAGGAATGATACATGCTCATGTTTTTTCTAGTGGTCCAAGGTCTTTAATCCGTGCTGACACAAGATTCGCGCTTTTGTCATTATGGCTTCTTAAGTCTTGGAGACTGTAGCAAAAGAACTGAAAGAACTGAACAACTTCGCAATCTAAAAATTGGCTTTTGTTATTTTCAGAAAAGGTATCTAAAGGCTAGTTTTGAGAAGTAAAACTAATAAAAACCCCACCCTGCTTAAAGTAGGACAATTTAATTGAAAGTGATCAGTATTAATATTGATTACATGACGTTAAGGCCCTTCAATTCTTTCTGACTAATTTCGACATCAATTCTCATGAATTTCTGCTATACCGGTTGGACTCTTGAAAAAAAAAATATAGTTTTTGATTATATTTTTCAAAGTCTGGTCTGTATTTTCTAAAAACAGATTGTGGACCGCATTTCCACACACACTTGCGAATTATACATCGGAAAGCTAGAGGTTAAGAATTTCCTTATCGGTTGTGCTCCTTCTCGTGCGTTCAATATCTTGCTTGTTTTAATTAATTGACACACTGGAAAACTCCTTATGCGATAAAGCTATTTGTTCGCCAGCTAACATGTGTAAGCAGTTGTCTTAAATGCAGGCCTTTCAGATTAGTCTGTCTAGAGGATTTTTTTAGGACAGTACACCTGATATGGGAAGAGAGATAACAAGATTTCCGCCTCCTTTCGAGCCGTGCCAAGTATCAGACAGCAGCTAAGAAGCTTCCACTAAAAATTTCAAGACTGTGCGTGTTCGAGCAAAAGAATCAAAAGAATGAAGTAAATAAACAATATTAAATCTGGAAGGGAGCATAGCCGGAAAAAAGCTTTGACTACGATATATAAATCATGATGATTGCTCCTGTAAAGAGTGCGAATGAGTTAGCCTTAATCTAACTGGAGGACTCGTAGAATCTTTCAGCTCATTTATATCAAAGAAATCATATGGATTATTTCAGAGCGCCTGTCAAAGTGAGAAAGCTGATCGCTACGACCTTTGGCACCAGAAATCATCAGACTTGGCTGCCATGAAGATTGCAGCTTCCAATGCTTGTCATGTTTATGCTGATGAAAGTCGGCTTTCTTTTAAGAGTTTCCAAAAATAAACGTTCTAGACTGTACAGGAGAGGAACATCTAGAAAACGGAAAAACTTAAAAAGGGGTGGAAGTGGCAGAAAACTGAACGCGCGCATGCGCTGATGAAACAAAGAAAACGATGTTAATCTGACGGTTTCTTCTGAAAAACATTTCCGCGACTGAAAATGTCGCAGTCTTTTGACAACCTTGTTGTTTTCCCCTCTCTCGGCCTTCGCTCAAAGTTATTAACCCTTACATAACAACATTAATTCTCAAAGCCGATTGTCTTAAGCTTTATGTTAGTTCATTGATGTGGCGATAGGACGAATTTCGACGAAATTCAACCAATAACTGAATAGAGTAGCAAATCAAAACTGTAATTAGATGCCGATTTGTCTAGCATTATACTCAGCGCATAGAGATTTTGCTAAGTACATGTCGTATCCATAAAGCTATCTGAGGGAAAGAGCTTGCTAATTGCCTTGTCACTATAGCATTGCTTGTAAACTTATCCAAGCTGAAAATAAACGAAGTTAGGGTTTGGTCTTTTTTTTCAGTTTACTTGCCTGTGAGTCGTAAAAAGTAACTATTATACTGTTATACGGTAGCGTTTATCATGAATTGCGGTCAATCAAATATTTTTGCTCTCGTGCGATTGGTCTAAACGCATCACATGACTGAATATTTTCCAACTAAAACTGGGGAATATTAGAGAGATATTCTCAAATTCACACGCAGAACTAATTCTAACGTAAGCAGAAGAACTACATTGACTTTATTTTTTTCTATTTACATTTCAACTTGTATTGTAATTTCAAAACAGTAAATGCTTCCCCCCTCAGCTTCTAATAAAATCTACGAAATTCTTACTTTTTTTTTCTGATTTAGTGATTTTCTGAATCTTGTTTGTCCATTATTTGCATGTTTCTTAGCAACACCACTCTCGGGGACGATGGATTTTGGCAGTAACTGACAATCCCCTATATCGATAACTAAGGGAACCAAATATTTCTTGAATCTGTTTTCAAATCGATATTACAAATATTGACGAAAATAGAAAATACGTACGCTATATTAGAATTTACATGACACTCTTTGCTGAACTTTACGGAGTATATTTATACCTGGCTGGTGAAGGCTTCATGGCAACCGTCTAAATCAAATGTTTTGTTTGTGTCAGCTTATTAAGGTAACTATGAAATCATTAAAAAACCTTTCTGTAGCGTGTGCTTTGATATTAAGCGCAAGTATGTTCCCTCTTTGAAATTGAGATAGAGCGCGTTCAAGGGCCACTGTCAGAGAGGAGTACCAATTTGCAATAATTAAAAAATTAGCTTAATGACTTCAACGGAAATAGTTTATGGTCGCTTTGGTAAGTTCAGGCTACTTTATATTGATAGTGAGGCCAACAAAATGTCCCAAAAAAAGAACTATAAAGGAAGCGAAGGGAGTGAAAGAGCGTTTGTATTTCTAAAACAAACGTACTCACTGCTGACCACAAGATGACGTGATTGACCACTGTCATTCACCACTCTAGCTCGTTCATCTGATTGATTGGTTCTTGTACTGAAGTGGCTTCCGTGACGAGAAGTAGCTTCCTGCAAAGTGGTTTTTGCACTCTGTTTAATATATTGGAATCATAAATTTTGAATTTGTTTTTGTGGTAACCAAGCACGTTTTGTAATGTTATATGTTTTAAGATGCTGGATGACTTAAGTTGCACTTGAGGCAACGAGAACACCGTTGAGAGACATTTCCTTCGCAAAACTCAATGTGAAAGACAACAATCGCTTAATAAGTCGAAATAAACGAGAGAATTATCCTAATTAGCAGTTTAGTCATGCTCAATTGTTAATTTGAAAAGGGGTGGGGGGCAGACGAACAATCAAAATTATGTTTGGAAGTGACACATTTTACAAACTGATGGTGACTTTGGCGTAGGCGGCTCTCACAAGCTCTCACAAACCCGACAGTTCGGGGGCGTTTTGAACTTAAAGACTGTGTGTTTTCCACAAACTTCAGTAACTAGCAATAAATACGTCATAAATCATGCAATGACAAGTGATGCTTATATCTGCTTATAGACTTGGTATACAGACCGGCGAAAAAAAGAATGCATTATTTATTTCATCTTCAATAGAACAATGGCTGACGATGCAGTTCATCAGTCAAAGCCCAACAAGATGCGTAATAACAAAAAAAGTAAACAAAATACTAATTATAACTGCGTGAGAATCTGTAATCAGTTGTAGAAAAGACCAAAGACTGTCGTGGGTTTTCAGTTGCTCGATGGTATGAGTAAAACGTTCCGTGAATGTGCAACAAAAACTTGCGTCATGCACTTGAATTGCTCCTCGCCCCTCAACGGTCACCAGCAGTATTACCGTTAACAAACAATATTACTACCACAATAGCATGCGATCAACGGGCACGCAACCCGTGTATGTTTCCCGCTGAACCTATACAAACAAAGACTTGATCAAAGACGAGACCGATCTTTCCTATTGACAAAACATGAACATTGACGAAGCCAAAAATAAACAAAATCTCATTTTTTGCGCTAGGTTCAGAAAGAAATCCAGCCGGCAAAATGGGATGGGAAGGTCGATTGGGTGCCACTAAAATGGCTTGTGACGCCTTGATTTGTTATCGAAGAGGTTGTTGAAACAATTGTTTGTTAGGAAAGGTATTCTGTTGTTTCATTAAGCCACCTGCCGTAAGTGAAGGGGAACGAATCGATGAATATTTTAAATTTGGAAGCAGTTGAACACGCCTTGTCGGAATGCATTCAATTGTTAATTGATTTTTGGAGGGAAAAGTCCCGCACAACAAGTACTAAACGAGATATGACTCTGCAATTCGGGCGAGCGACTACATGCAGGAAAAAAAAAAAACAAATAAGTGTTTTGAATTTGTAAGGAAAACAACCATCCAGTACTGTTAGCTGCTGATATACCTGTTGTGCAAACGCTTCCAAACTTTCCAATCATGCTTTGAGCTTTTTAGCCAAGCGCTACTGTATCCTTACTGGCTCAAAGAAATAAGTGCGTTTTCAAATTCCATATATATATTGAAATTCTATTTGCATGTTTTACAAAATCTGTTCATAAATTTCACATAGATTAGCTAGCTTAGCTTGTAGCTGCATTGTTGGTTTACTATTAGCAGAGATCAGTTTTGCTAACATGGTCGGTTTCAGCACTTCAGAAAAAAACCCCTTGAGGTTGCTCCCGGGTTTGTTAGCCCGTTGGACTAAAAACGAATAACTCTCTCTGAAACCATAACTGACGTACCTTGCCTCAGCTTGACTCCTCAGATTAATGCTCACAAAAATGAATAAGAACTCTTTACATCTGAACTGGCTTGGCTTGAAAAGTCATCCATCCTGATGGAGGTCACAAATGGTTCCTCTGATAGTGCTTCTTACACCACTAAAAAAGTGCAATTTACATGCGCTTTTAAAATCCTCTTCTTGGAGGCTTATGCTCTTCCTTAAGAAAAAAAAAAAGGCGTGCAGCAGCTTGTACCTTATTTGAAGCAGCCTGTCGACAGCGAGTCGGCAGTTTTCAATCTTTACGCGCGTACTGTATGAGCGGGTTTATTGTTTAACGTTATTTCACCTGATGGTCATTTGTACACTTTTGGCTTTTGCCATTTAGCCGGCCATGGATACAACGTGTTTATCATTCTACATTGTTAAGTTAATTCCACTGGCCTTCATCAGCCAGCAGGAGAAACACTTGTACTCCCTGGAGATAACGAAACTCTTGTTTATGGAAGGAACATGGTGCGCTCCTATTGGTCGCGATCGAGTGTCCTTTCAATTGATCATGTGTTCCATTGTTAAGCGCACGATGCCGCTTGTCGAAACACCTTTTTGTGTGTCTTCAAAGCAACTTTTAAGCTTTTCTTCTCTTATGGAAACATTTTAGAAAACGGCTGTACCAGCCGCTACAGCGATACAAATTGAGAAGAATAGATTTCGAAAACATACCCTTCCTCTGCTTTCTTCGTTAATTTCGAATTCCGTTCCCTCGGGCGAGACTATCATAAACTTTGAATTGAGAATGCATAATCGAGGACAGTGATGAAACTGGTGTTGAGAAGGCGTAAGAAGAACCAATTTCTCAATGCAAAATGGCATCACATTACGCCAATAAACTAAAACAATGAACAAGTATATTTGGGACTGAAGAAAATTAGTCCGTAACACAAAGTGCAACAAAAGATTTATTGGTTCTGATAATTAAGTACAGTACATTTCATCTTTAGCCACTATGGACGGTAAACTGCAGCCGTTTTTAATTTGAAGTCCTGCCTGAACTTGTTAACGCCATCTTGTAGCCCTCGGCTGTGTTCCAAGTGTGTTGAGCATTCGGTGATAAGTCACCCGAAAAAATAAAGGAGTTCTTCAGTGTTGTTTTGGCGGGTGGATTCGGAAGGAAAATTCAAAAGCACATGGTTTTTTCAGTGAGGAATCCAAAACGCGTACTGTTTGACAATTATGACACCCGTAACACCCTTTCGGAGGTGACATTCTTTCGACACGTGGCAAGAAGTCATATGATTTGAATCACGTGACTAAATTGAGATCAAGAAATTGCTTTTATTTTGCACTATTGACTTTTCTGATAAGGCAAGCAAAATAACACAAAGACAAATTGAAATTTGCGGTCACGCTGCATCGCCAATATCACCTATAAAAGACTTGTGATTATCGCTACAACGATAAATAAAGTAAAAATGTTTCAAGAACAACGCGTCCAAAAAGTTGCATAGAAGTATGATAAACCAGTATCAATAGTTTTGATACATAATATAAAAATATGCGCATCTACTGAAAGGAGTTGTGATAGTGATCTTCTTTTAAATCAAATGGGCTAAAAACGTTACTGAAAGAGCTAAAGTGGTATTGTACTTGTTTAAAGGCTCGGAACTTTTTGTTGCGTTTTGAGCATGTGAAATCCGTACGTCATCTGAGGTCTGTCAATTCATCACATCTTGTCATTTTTGAAGGCCATTCAATTAACCTAAAGTACAATAGAGCTCAAGCCAGCGCGGTTTTGTCCGAAGTTTATTGTTCGACTTCGCAGCATAATTCAATTTTATTAACTTGTGAAAATCTTTATGTCAATATTGTTCGGGACATTGAAATATCGGTTGGGTCAGTGTTTGCTTTGTGTAGCCTTCATGTTGTTTTTGCTCGATTGATTTCTTTTTTTGCTCTAGAGATTATCTGTGTTGATGTTGTTCGTCTTCGACCCAATCTTTTCAGTTTAGTGCTAAACTTCACGTGTTGGAGCGAAATTGTATATGCAGCACTGTGCTGAGGCCAAAGGAGTTAAGTTGGCATTAATCTCGCAATTCACAACAAATTCTTAATGATCTAAGAAATATAAAACCGGAAAAAGGTGCACTGAAAGTTTGAAATTCACACTGTCACGATACTTTTACAGTATTTTGAAACCTCTCAACTTTGGGCATGTTTAGTTTTGGCTATGCTTCTTACGGTGCGCTAACTAGACATGAACGCCGCCACTTTTGTATAGCAAATTTAGTAGTCCGTAGAAGGAAGTGCGGGCAACATCATAATGTCCCGTCTCTCATTTTAAAATGATCAGTTTTCGTTTCAACTTAATATTTCCACAGGAAACTGTAAATGTATTCCTGGAAAACGTGCACAGTTTATATCTAACAGAATGCAGAGAATGGATTTTTTTTTTCCTTCAGCTTTCCGGGGTGACGACTTTGTCGAGTTCACGACAATAGATTACTTTCCGTTTGTGCGTTCATATCTTATCTGGAAGCCGTGGGAAAATTTCCCGTCTTGGATGTAGCTTCAGTTGCTATGGAAACCCTGTCAAAGACCCTTGACAAAAAGAGAAAACAACGGCGAAGCCTATTAAGCCGACTCAAAACAAACGTAGAATGAAGAGAAACCTCTAGATAAAATGGATTTGGTTTTTTACTAAGGACAAGGGGACTTAGTGAAAATAGAAGAGTACTGAAAAGTTGACTTTTGGAGTTAGCACATAGAGAGCAGTGCGCATGCACTTCGAGCTTGTCTTGACATGAAATATGTTGTTTATTACCCCGAATGTAATCTGTACCACGCCAAGCTTCTTATGACTAGACCGACTGGAGGCGAAAATGTGTCTAAGGACTTGTGTCGAAATTTGCTTGCATATGGAATGACCCATGTCCTTGAGCTTCAACTCGGATTTTTTCCCACGTCAAGTAATCCCTTGTGATGTGTAAAAGGATGGAAGTGTAGGTACACTTGGCTGCACAAATTACACCAGTTGATGTGATAATTAGGCAGTAGGGACAATTAAGCGACCCTGAGGACGGCACTACTGCAGAAATCAAAGAAAATACCGTGCCATTGGTCAATCATCGACCGCGTTCTGTGATTGGCCACTTGGACCACAAAGGAAAGAGCGCGACGCGTAGTAAAATGCATATGCAAATTAATCAGTGGGAAGCCCGCTAGGGAGTTCAGTGTGGTGAAACTCTATCGCTCAGTACTCCGGTCGTTCGTGGGAATACTGTGCATTTCACGGTTCGATGTCCCACTCACCCGATGAAGCGCAAAAGTTGATCGATCTTATTAGGAATTGAACGCCAAGTTCGCAATGAAGGGCTATGTTATAGCGATCGTGTTCATTCCGATGGTGCTTGGTAAGTCGAAAAGTTATTTTCGAAGTGCGTGCTCTGATGCCATATTATTAACCGTCGGATGCCACTCTTGGATAAATGGCGTTCAAAGATGCACTTCACTGGAACCTTGGCGCGCTTCAGCGCTACACACTCGGTTTTTGCTTGGGAATTTCACGATCGAAGATTTGAACAGAGGTTTCTAATGTGAAGAGAAGAATCTAGTGCGTTTGGGTAATTGAAAAGACGGTTGGTTCAATTCCATGGGGCGCTACTTCATTATGTCTAACTGCGGCTATATTTACACCTCGCCTAGATAATTACGTTCGTCGTAGTTTAACACGGGAACCTGGCACAGATTGCGCTGTATCTTTGAAGTTACGAAAGGGTAGAATCTGGGGAAAATATTTAACATTAGTTTGACAGGACTCTGCCGGACATTGCACCAGTACTTCATGAAAATTAGGTTAACCTTTTGATAAACGATCCCCTGTGGAATTTTGTCCGCAGAATTGAGTTTCGCAAATATGTGGCCCTAAAAAGCTGGCTGAGCTTGTCGAAAGCTGCTCAGTTTGCTAGCAGGGAAGTGGGTGAGGAGCAGCTTACACGATCGCACAGCTGTCTCTGTTCACCTTGTAACATTCAAGCGTATTGTTAAAAGTTCCACCTGGCTTTTGACGGCTTTTCGGCTCAACTCCGTCCTTTTGTTTGTCTCTTGCAGCCTCCACGTGTCATAACGGATACTGCAAGAACGGTGGAACATGTTTAGAAAACCATGGAAAGGCCAATTGCAGGTATGCTTCTTTCGCTCGGTCAAGTTGTCTTGCTAAAGACGGCTTTTCTTATTAGTCGTGATTGTGTGCGGCACGTGAATTCTTGCCTGCATGGTTTCCGCGCTAGTTGACAGAGCGATGTTTATTTAGCAAGACAGAAATTAATGTCTCGTAATCTCTTCGAAAGCTCATTTTCTAGTAAGGTAGCTTTTCCCGGGTACTTTTCGCTTTTATTTGGTCTTATTTTTTGTATTTAGCCAATGCGTAAACTTCGCGCGCTCAACACCTCTAGAACAGCACGGCATTTAGATAGGTAAATAATGGCACCGAAAAACCACAACTCTGTGTGTATGCCACAGACTTAATTACAGTATTCACCTCTATGAAGGAAGGTAGCCTTTCTGCCTTCAAGTCGTTAAGAAATTGGAATTTGGAAACACAGCTGATTTCCTATCGCGTAAGGCTAACAGAAGCTTTAGATCCTCTCGGTGTAATCAAAATTATCATTACTAGCAACGGTAATGACACATGTTTGTGGGTATTCTTAAACAGTCGCTGGCAGCAAACAACATGAATTATTAAGAAAGCGTAGCAGATGTTTTTATTCAACATAAAATTGTCCTCAATAAACCCGTTTTAAGTGTACTAAATAAGATAGTTAATTGAAAATTGGTGTTGAAAAGTTTCATCGGATGTGTGTGACAGACTGTGTTCGTTCCCGAAGCGGCGCAAATGTAGAAAAACTTTGCTTGGTGCGTCGACACGTTTTCTAAAGCTTGGCCTAATTAACAGGGCTTTTATGTTGATGAACTCTCAAGACTTCAGTTTAACGGCTACAAGCTAGTTGCTGCAGAAAACAAAAAGTGATCGCAGAAGCTCGCCCAACGATTAAGCGATTTCCGAATTGTTGGACTGGATTTGAGTTGATCAAGTTGACATAGTATTTACTCACTGAGCTAGCTATTATCGCGCAAAATGGACCAATCCTGCGCGTTTAACAGGATTTATAATTGTGGCAGAAACTGGTCTCCGTATGGATTAGGTCTGGAATAAAGTGCGAAGGATTATTGAGCTTAAAATAGTTGTTGCACGAATCCCTTCTTACGTTTCCACATGCCAGTGGTATAAATATTCCAAAAACAATGGTCGCCAAAAAAAATTCGATGTTCATAATAAGTCTGATCCACGAGGAAATCGTTTTGTAAAAGGATATTAGAAATTCAAAACTGGAAAAAGAAAAGAGGAATTCGAAACTGATTTCCTGTTTGCCTTAACGCTGTTTTGGTCATCTTTCGTCACTCCGTAATTCGTCTCAGTTGTTAATTAATTCGTATTTGCGAAAACGACAGTTCTGCCTAAGTTTTATTGGCGTTTTTGAATAATCTTTATTTACGTAGCTTGTTTCATCCCAGGAATGTTTGATATGGTTTACGAATCAAGAGAGACAGTCCAAAGAAAGACGGAATGTTTTTTTTTTGGTTCAGTAACTGCGGGTCGCAACTCCGCGGCTTAGTAAGAGAAGTCTTATATACTTTCTTTTTCTGGAGAACTAGGTAAAAACACCCCTCTAACAGAATCTTTCCATGTTTTGTGAATTCACAAATCTGTAATCTTCGAAAAAGATCAAAAGGGTTGTTTTTAAACATAAGATGAAGCCAATCTTATTCAAACATGGATTTCACAGGCTAACTAATAGCATTTTGGGGACATTTTTGTTTTGCTGAACGGCACAAAGGACCAAAGTCTGATACCACGTAATCGTGTTAACTAGGACGTTAATTGTGTGTTGTTATTAAAATAGAGGTTTTCAAAGAAGAATGGTCAATTATGATTTCCAGGAATCAACCCACGAGAGCAAGTTGTTTGATATTTTTTTTTGTAAAACCGTTATGGTTAGGAGTTTGATCATCAGTGATATTTGGCTCTGTGGCTAAAATCAATTGTAGCTTTCATTGTTATTCCTCAATTGTTTGATCAGCATGAAACATGCGGAGATTACGCATAGGCTAGTTAGCAGCTGTAAGCAAGGTAGGAAACTTGCATTTTGTTACCAGAATGGTATTTCTTTGGTGATTTATTGGTGGCTTAATTTTAGGCCTTTTTTCCTGTTTGTAAGTAATGATTATGTCCCATAAGGATGCTGGTAATTTGTATGTACAGACGGCAGTTATTTTGATTTGGCAACATTTTTGAAAAGAAAATAGATAAGGGTTTATTCATTAATTCATGACTTCAAGGTACTTCACAGTATGGATGCAAAAATTTGGCCTTTTTTAGGCAGTTAGGATCACATAAGCTATTGAGCAATTTGTGGCTAAAAGTCAATGTTTCCCTGGGGGGCCACAAATCTACTCTTGATATTGTGACTACCAGGGAATAGCCTGTCAGGTTTTAATAAGTGCTCTATGAGTCATGTTGCAGTTTTTGATTTTCACTGTGATTGGTACGGATCATCGAAAAAGGAATGTGATCAAAACTGGCAGACGTACAAATTTATTATGACCTTAGTTAAGCTTTTCGTGTGTGGCCATAACAGATTATTTATTTGCCAAACATTTTATCTCAAACAAAGTCTATACCATATATTATATTCCCTTATGGTCAGCTATTTTTTATTGATAATATTTTCATTTTGTGTTCTATTTTAATTCAATTTATGTAATAATATATTCTGATGAATTGTCATTAGCTAAACATTTAATCAGCTTATTTCAAGGGTGCAAGAATTGTCCTTAGTTTTGTTCCATTTATCACGGTGTGACAAGGTTGTTTTCATTATTTCCATCTGAATGGTATTACAGTCTGTAGGAAAATAAGGAATCCTCACTAAAGTTGTGCTCAGAACACAAACCTGACTGGGTGAGCTAAAACAAAAAAACAAAGCAAAACAAAAACCATGGATTTATAGATGACTAATTTTTTTCACAACAGGGCGTTAAACTTCATGCAATGAATTCCAGCTAGGCGGTGTGGCAAACCATGATTTCTATTGTTCTTATTAGTTTTGTTCAAATGTTTTGTTGTCTTGTTAATAAATATGTGCTTTAAGAGTGAAGTGCAATGAGAATGTTTGCTGGAGGAAGAAGAGAACATTGGAGGGTAATTGCGTGTTGGCTCAAACTACTTTGAAGTCTTTTTCCTCAAAATAAACATTGTCAAAATTAAAACTCAATGGCTTGCTTTGACAAGTCAATTAGGCTTTCACACCCTGAGGGCACGGAAAGATGTGAGCAGTTGTAGTGAAAGAGACTTCTGTTACATAACTTTAGACAGGCATTTTGGTACAATCTGTGTGCTTCCTAATACATAGAGAAAAGATTGCCACTTGAGATGTGATTTCCATGAAGTAAGTAAGCAGGTTTAGTCTGTTCCAGTTTTGACCACCCACTTCCGAGCATTTTTTTTGTTACTTTAAATAAGCTTGTGCATATGTGTATGCATGTATCTGTGTCTGACAATCATTTTAAAAGTAACTTTTGTTTGTTTGGTTGGATTTTGATTATCATTTTGCACTTCATAGAACTGCCTAAAATTACTTGATTTCAAGCTGCCCTTTATTTTCAAAAAGACCAAACTATCTATGTATATTTGAAATTAGGTTTGTTACTAGTATGGCATGGTTCAGTCCATGTTTAGAGTCATAGAACTAGAATTATAATATTCAACTTGGAAATATGGTATTTGCAAACATGTGTGTCATAATTTATTGTCTTTCATTAACAGTTGTCCTGCAAATTTCACGGGGGCCACATGTGAAACAGATGTTGACGAGTGTCTAGTGCTATCAAATCCATGCTATAATGGAGCAACTTGTACAGACGTTTTTGGAGGCTATTTTTGCCGTTGTATTTCTGGTTGGGAAGGATTTGATTGTTCCATCAACAAGAATGACTGTGTTACTCAAGCAGATGGAAGCCCCCCATGTCTAAGTGGTGGCACTTGTGTGGATAGAGTTGGCAAATATGATTGCCTCTGTCCACCAGGATGGACAGGTAAGAAGATCTAGAGTGACTTTTGGACTTTCTAATGCTTAACTATGTATTGTATTTATTTACTTGGATTGGACTAGTTAATAAAAGTCACCAAAATTGTAGAAACATTTTCTTTTATCATGCGGTAACATACACATGTACATGTAACTGCACAGCATGACCATTGACAACAACAACCTATGTACTTACTGTACTCGTAGTTACATTTTTATAGACAAAAAAAATCAGTTAAATAGAGTACTTGCCACCTAAAGTGGTAGGGCTTTGCTTTGATAATGAAATGACAGATACTTGTTCAAGTTTCTTACTCACATGTCAAACAACATTTTGTTATGCAGGTCCTTTGTGCCAGTCTATTGATCAGTGTTACGCCAATCCATGTTATGGAGCTGCAACATGTTTGACAGATCCCTTTGGACGATATAATTGTCACTGCCCAAAAGGATGGACTGGGAAAAATTGCAGTGCTGACATTGATGAGTGCATGATTAGTAGTCTTTCACCGTGTCACCATGGTGGCACATGTGTCAACACACCTGGATCATTTGTATGTCAGTGTGTACCAGGTTACACAGGTAATTATCATATTAGGTCCCACATGCAGGCCAATAGCCAGTATGGCCTATAGCAGGGCAAGCTGAGGCACTTTCCTCAGTCATTTTTTTTTTCGATTTTGTTGGTTGATGTGTTTTCTTTAAGGGGAAAAGTATAACACTGACTTGTATATGTATGTTACAAGAGAAAGGACTAATCCTGGCATTTTTGGCTCCTCAAGCTATACAACAAAAATATGCAAACAATGGGAATGTAGTAAACAGGTTTTGTGTGATGTTGTTACAGGTGAAAGGTGCGACTTGCCCATTAATGAGTGTGCATCCAACCCATGCAAGAATGGCGCTCAGTGCCTGGATTACGTCAGTGAATTTACATGCATTTGTCTACCTGGGTGGACAGGCAAAACATGTAATGTGGACATTAATGAATGCAACAGCAACCCTTGTAAAAACGAAGGACAATGTGTTAATGAATTGAATAGTTACAGGTGCAAGTGTAAATCTGGCTTCAGTGGAACTAACTGTGAGATAAATATTGATGAGTGTGCAAACCCAAATCCTTGTCAGAACGGTGCTACATGCTCTGATGGCCTTGCCTCTTATACTTGCTCTTGTGCCAGTGGCTTCACTGGTAAAGTGTGCGAGACAGACATAGATGACTGCATGTCATTCCCTTGTCAGCATTATGGAACTTGTGTTGATGGCATCAATAGCTACTCCTGCATCTGTGCCCCTGGTTACATTGGAAAGAACTGTGATGAAGATTTTGACGAATGTTCCAGCAATCCATGTATGTTTGGCGGAACCTGCGAGAATAAACAAAATGGGTTTCAGTGCAGATGTCCTAAAGGCACAAGTGGTAAGTTGCCTGAGAATTGACCTTTATGGGCATTATTTTTCAGGGGTGGTCAATGTTAAACTGCCCCTTACCGCATTAGCATGAGCAAAGAAAACAGAAAATGCAACTCATTAATGAGGAGGCATCTTTCATTCCATAGAATTAATTTTATGGTATATACTACAAAACTAAATAAATGTTTCGATATCCTATGAGGAAAGTACCTGTAAATTACTGTTGAAGAGTTTTGTTTGGTGTATTCTCCTTGAGCATTATGCCCTAACTCTGACCTAGAGCTCATGCCATAAAGTAATGACTCCTGTAATACCTTGCAAAGTTTGGCTTTTCCAATATTCCACATTCTTTGAAACTAGGTGTCTTCAGACAAAGTTATTTACACAAGACAATTATTTATGTCTAGAAAGTAATTGATCTTTTTCTGCAATCATTATCATGGCCAGTTCTGAATTCTGAAGTGTTCATTTACATTGCATGGTGATTGACCTACTATAGCAAACATGAGAGCCTGTGTTTTACTGCATTTGCTAACACTGAGAAGAGAGACAGCAAAGTACTTAAGATGAACTTCAAGATGTATTGAAATGTGCTAAAACATTGTCTTGAGTGTCTGATATACCTTCTCAGTCAAGACTTAAATTAAGGAAAAACTGGAGTTATATAATCCTAAAAATCCATGCTAATTGAGATCAGATAATGAAACATCATCTTCATTATGATTTCCTTTGTTTCAATTTGATGAATTACTGGTACTAATGAGTTTGAGAACTGTTTGGACAAGTGCAGATGTTACTGTTTCTTTATGTCATGAGTAACTTCCATTCTGCTTAAAGGTACAAGATGTGAACACAATGTTGATGACTGCATAGGAGTTACTTGCAAGAATGGTGGGACATGTAATGATAAACTTGATGCTTACGAATGTAAGTGCCATCCAGGTTTTGATGGCCCCCACTGTGATAGTAACTACGACGAGTGTGCATCACAACCTTGCCGAAATGGGGGAACTTGTACAGATGGTGTTGCTCAGTATCACTGCCAATGTCAGGCGGGTTTCACAGGTTTGTCTCTTTGTGGTGTTCAGGATATCATAAGTTAATGCTTTTCTTTGTGATTTCATGAAGTGATTAAAATGTACATGTAGACTTCCTACAAGTAATGAGGAAGAGTGCATTTTACAGTACTAGACCACCAGGAGTTTGAATAGTGGACTCCCTAGGAACATGTTGCAGCATCCTTGAGAGTTTTTTCTCCTTTCTCTTCTTCAATATGATAGGTAGAAGCTGTGAGACCATAATTGACAGTTGCCTTGGAAACCAGTGCAAAAATGGTGCATCTTGTGTCTCACAACAATATAGCTACTCATGTAAATGCATGCCTGGGTATGGTGGACAGTTGTGTGAGGTTAATATTGATGAATGTGCTGCAAACCCTTGCTTTAATGGTCAGTGCAGAGATGGGGTCAATAGGTACATTTGTGATTGCTACGCTGGTTTCAGGGGTACTACCTGTGAAATCAATATTGACGATTGTAAATCCAGGTGAGTTTTGTAATTTATTTCTTTGCATGATTTGCTTAAAAAAGACTGTGGTTCAATTAGTACCTGATGTTTTTGTCACTTAAACATTCTCCATGACCACAGTGTACTGTACTATAAGTTGTTTCGTGTAATAGTGAGACATTGCACCAAGTGGATGGGAAAAGTAAAGGGCACAATTTCAAGACCCCCCCCCCCCCCCACCCCCACCCCCCAGAGGGTTGGGTGGGGTGGGTGGTAGAACAAACCCAAATTCAGATGCTTAAGGATTTCACTAGTTTATTTCACCCTCTCACTCCAAACAGTGCCCAGTTATACATGTAAAAGTAAAAAAAAACCTAGAAAAAAGAAACTGTGGTATGTGAAAGTAGTGCTCATTAGTTTTCAGGCAATTGCTTTTACATTGCACTGCACTCTCAAGTTACAATCTTGTTAAATGCTACTATAATAAGAATAAGAATGATTATCATAAGAGTTTATTTCATGAATTTGACTAAGTTTATATGCTTTCTCTTTTTCTTTTGTAGCCCCTGTCTACAAGGATCAACATGTGTCGACAGAGAGAATAATTTCTTTTGCGAATGTGCACCTGGCTTCTCTGGACGAAGGTGTGAACAGCACATCGATGAGTGCAGATCATCACCTTGTCAGAACGAAGCCACTTGTGTCGACGAAATTGCTTCATACCGCTGCTACTGTAAACCTGGCTACACTGGAACGAATTGTGAAAATGTAATCGATTGGTGTCAGAACTCCCCATGTAAAAATGGTGGGACGTGTAAGCAAACTGGGACTGATTTTCAGTGTGACTGCCTGACTGGATTCAAAGGCGTTATTTGTGATGTCGAGAATATCACCTGTGCTCAGGCCAGAAATTCAAGAAGCGATGTGTGTTTGAATGGGGGAACATGTATTGATGATTACCAGAATATGCAGTCCTGTTCATGTGCCCCTGGCTTTACAGGAAGCTATTGTGAAATCAACATCAATGATTGCACCAGTGGACCTTGTAAAAATGGTGCCAGTTGCATCGATGGAGTGTCAAACTACTCTTGCAGCTGTTTGAAAGGCTTTGTTGGTGACAACTGTGCAATAAATGTTGATAACTGTGCTTCGAGCCCATGCGAGAATGGTGGATCATGTACTGATCTAGTTGACGATTTTTTCTGTTCATGTCCTGTGGGATATGTTGGTAATACATGCAAAAGTAATCCTAATGATTGTCCAGATAATGCTTGCTTCAATGGTGGTACTTGCCAAGATGGTCTGGAAAGTTTCTCCTGTCTGTGCAGAGCGGGATATTCAGGATTGCGCTGCGAAGTGGACATTGACGAATGTGCTTCTAACCCTTGTTCACCTCTAGGCACTGACAAATGTTATTCACTGCCTGATAATGATTATCGCTGCATGTGTAGGCCTGGATTTCTGGGCAAGAACTGTGACTTTAACATAAATGAGTGTCTGTCAAATCCCTGCCAGAATGGAGCAGAATGCAAAGATGGTGCCAGCAAATATACTTGCCTTTGCCAGAAAGGATTTTCAGGATTAAACTGTGAGCGTGCAGTCTCCTCGTGTTCAGATTATCCTTGCCTGAATAGTGGCACCTGTCTGACACATGTCAACGGTAGTTTCTCGTGCTCTTGTATGCATGGAGTTAATGGTCGAATGTGTGAGTGGAACCAGGATGACTGTCTGTCCACACCTTGCCAGAATGGAGCAACTTGTGAGGATGGATTTGGTACATATACATGTAAGTGTCCTATCGGATACACCGGAATAAACTGTGAACAGGACGTGGATGAGTGCAAAAGCAATCCTTGCATGCATGGTGGTACATGTGAAGACATGGTGGGTCACTACAGATGTAAATGTCCAGGTAAACATGTGAACTTTATTTTACTCTTTGAACAAAACTTTATTTTTCATGCTCAGTTTTTCTCTCAGTCAAGTTATGTCTGAAGAAATGTCATGTCAATTACTTAGTTCTCCGAGGTACATGTAAGTGTAGCGTCTCTAATATATATTTGGGCAGTTTTGCTTGGTTGCTCAAAAATAGCAACCAGCTTGCTAGACGCCACATGGATTCTGTAGTGTTGTGTCGTCAGTATGGGAATATTAAAACGAATTTCTGACGTCTAAACTCTTTTGAACAAGGGAAACAATTTAGCTGAAAGCACTGCTTGCTTTGTCATGGCTGGTTAACCTCTCATCTAAGTACTGGTCCCAAGGTCACTGTTGTAATGTTGTATTCTTAGATAGGACTTAATTACATTCCCTGAGTGGAAAAGTGGAAAAGCAGGGCCAAACGCAATTAATGCCATGTTAAGCAGATATATTATGTTTGGTTAGAGGAAGTGATTGTCTGGATCAATTGCCTCAAGGCAGTTAAGTACACAGCATATAAATTAACACTTGTGTATGAATTTGTTAACGTGAATCTGGGTGAAAGATCAGGCTTGATTATAACTGAGCTATTGTTTGACAGGGAACAGAAGTTTGTCAACGGCATTAAGATTATTCATAGAAACTCGGGAATGAGTTTGTTCTTGCCCTTGTGTTTATTTCAAATTTTGTTGTTATTTTAAGGACATTATGTGTGAATAGTATTTTAATCATGAAATTGTTCCTGCTTTTAGACAATTTCAGCGGTACAAACTGTGAACAAGAAGCAAAGTGCCCCCGTGATGACTGTGCAAAGAAGTTTGATGGAGGGAAATGCAATGTAAGTTGATGTGTTTTTTTGTTGTTTCATTTGTTTGATGACAAAAGGCCATAATTATTGTCATGATTAAGATAACATGCAATTATTAGGCTGTCAGGAGTGCAGCATATCTCTGCTCACTTATGGAAATGGACATCAACAAACAAACGTGATGGGTTAACCCTAGACGTCCCCATTCAGGTTGTCTCTTGTTGCAAAAGCTGTAGTTAAGCACTGGCTAGCCCAGTTGGTAGAGCGCCAGTCTGCTGTACGGAAGGTCGGACTAACACTTAGGGTCTTAAAATAACTGAGGAGAATGCACTGCCTTTGTAATTACATCTGCAATTGATTAGACGTTCAAGTCTTCTCGGATAAGGACTATTAACCGTAGGCCCCGTCTCCTGCATCTTCAGTGTTACATGGTTAGCAGGAGGCGTTAAAGAACCCACACGCTTGTCGAAAAGAGTAGAGTACGTAGTTCCCAGTGGTGTGGTCTGGCCTTGTCTCACGGGGTGGTGCTTTACATAGGGTTAACCTCATTGTACCTTTCCCCCTTGGACAGGTTTGTCCAAGAAAAACTTACTATGGCTATGGCTATGGCTATGGCTATGGCTATATGAGCCATCATACTAAAATAGCAGATACTACTTACATGTACCTTGTTGTTTTTACTTTTTCTCCAGCAGTAGTGTATTGTGCTGAAGTGTGTGTAGTTTATGTGAGGATAAAGGATAAAAATGTCACACATGCTGAATAGTTTTCAAAATGTGAATGTATCAAAAAACGAAGTGCAGCCATGATTACTAAGGTTATTTTATTGTGGATTCTGACTCTTTCATGCATGTTTCCTTTATTTCGAATGTAGCCAAACTGCAACATTCATTCTTGTAACTGGGATGGCACTTCCTGTTCCCTTGGAATTGAACCATGGAAAAATTGCTCTGCACTGACAGAATCTGGAAAATTCTGTTACGAAGTGTTCAAAAATGGTCAATGTGACAAACATTGCAACAAAGTAGAGTGTCTTTTTGACGGTTTTGATTGCAGCCCTCCTAAAAAAGAATGCAGGTATGATACACAAATCACTTTGTAACCCTTTCTGTGTCTGTCTCTTGTATTTTTTAATTAAGAACTTGTGTCCCCAAAGAGTTACTAATTCCCATTTCTCTCTCCTCTCCCTTTGCCATCTTCAGTTCTTAAGGGGGGCATAGACTGTTTACCTTGACTCTTCGACGAACTCTGTTTGTCGCACTGATGCTCAATGTCTAACTTTAATTGTTTTTATATGAATCGTAGCAATAACGACTATTGTGCTGCCCGCTTTGAAAATGCAGTGTGTGATTCAGTCTGCAACAATGAAGCCTGCTTGAAGGATGGTTTAGACTGTGAAACAGGGAGTCCTAAATTGGTGGGTGAAATTGATTTCGACTGTTTATAATACATTAGTATAGTAACAGTACACATCAGCAGCTTTTTGTGGCAGTGGTAAATTAATATGTCTTTCTTAAATGTCCCAGGGCGAAGGAACGCTTGTACTTGTGCTGTTGGTAACACCAGACACTTTTAGGAATGGTTCCAGAATATTTATGAGAGAACTTTCTGCAGTGTTGGAAACCATTGCATTTATCAAGAAAAAGGATAACGAGCAAATGATCTACTCCGTGACTATTCCTTCTCCTACTGAGGCCCTGAAACAGCGCTCACGCCGACAAGCTATCCTGAAGCTGACTCATTACGTTGTCAGACGGGCAGCGGAAGGGTCCACGAAAGGGTAAGTGTTCTGTAATAACTCAGTCAATGTGTTCTGTGCCAGTGCGATTTAGCTCTTTCACAGTCAAGAGAGAAACCTGTGGCTATTGTTCCAGTGAAATCTGTTTCGCAGTAATTTCATGTGTTACGGTTTATTATGCTGTACAATGTGGTTTTATTTAACGTTAAAGTCTGGGGATGGAATACTAGTGTGACCATTCAAATAGAAGCCTGTAAGTGAACAGTATTTCCATGTGGTGCAGTTTATTATGCTGTACGGGATGGTTTTGTAAATGAAATTCTAGTATGTAACCTTAGCGAGCAGTGAATTGACTGCCTTCTCTGTTGGTTTTTACTTAAAGAACGGAAGTTCACGTGGATCTCGACCAGAGAGGATGCTCAGGACACACGTGTATCTACAAAGCGAGCGATGTAAGTTCACCTTCAAATATGTTGATTGTTAGGTGTCTGTTGAGTTGTTACTGCTAGCTTAATTGCCGGGATTAACTGAAACTTGTTGGGTTTGCTTTCAGGGAGCTCGCTACCTTGGTGCATTACAGTCCTCCAACAAGTTAGACCTACCTTACCCCGTGTATCAAGTTAGAGGTAATAGTTGTCATTTCTTCTCTTGAAGCAGTGCAAGTCAGTCTGATTCTGTTTATTTTCCATTTGCGTTCCAGAAGTGTAAGAGCAGAAACGCATCAAATACTATCGACAAGGCGCACGACCGTTCGTCACGGACGTCACGCAATGTCGTGCATTGCTCGTTACGCAACGAGCCCATGAGAGTAGACAGTTACTTTAACCATTGACATCAATCTGATGAATTTGGTTTTTTTCAGTTGACGACGAACCTCCGACCCCCAAAGAACCACCCCCTGATCTTCCCCCTCTGTCGCCACTTTACATTGCTATGCTGTGTGTGGGTATTCCACTGTTTATTGTTGGAGTGTTGGCTGGTGCCAAGAGGGTGTACGCCAAACTGTGGGTACCTGAAGGTTTTCCAAGACATCGACCTCGACGACAGTCTTCCACGAGGCGTGAACCCGTCGGCCAGGAAGTGTCCATGAGGTAAACTTTTTGTCCTTGTGGCATCTTGACGTCTACAAAAGTCATGAACACGAGGTTTAAGGAAGGAAGAATTCTGGCTGATTTCATCATTCTCTTTTCTCCCAGATCAATGAGCAAAAGTTCCTCGGAAATTGACGAAGAAGGTGCTTGTGCGGATGGCGAGAGCAGCCGATCAGACCTCACCCCTCCCAGAGAATCCAAACGCGTCAAGCTGGACAACGGAGAAGACCCGCGTAAATGGACCAGCCTCCACAAGCAAGCAGCGGATGTGACTGTACGAAACCCATCGCTGGCTCTGACCCCTCCTCAGGAGGGCAGTGGCGAGCGAGGAGCATCAAACATAGAGGTGGATGCCAGAGGCCCCGGTGGAATGACCGCCTTGCACTTGGCTTCGTGTCGCGGTGGGTACGGTGATGGCAGCAGCCTGGATGACGACAAAGACAGCGACGACAGCGGAGGAGCGATGGTCTCGGATCTGCTGTCTCTTGGGGCAAGCTATGGATCTAAGACGGACCAAGATGAGACACCGCTTCATCTTGCTGCTCGACATTCCAGAGCTGATGTTGCTAAACGTCTTCTGGATTATGGAGCTGATGCTAACTCACGGGACCGACTCAACCGCACACCTTTACACTTAGCTATTGGAGCTGATGCTCAGGGAGTGTTTCAGGTAAATATGAAGTGATATCCCACGTGTGCTAGGTAAACAAAAATTGACATGTTCTGATAAATAAGAATTAGTATTGCATGTTCTTCAAGTAGATATGTACCTGGTAAGTTCAGTGCTGTTCACGACGCAGAAAACGCTTTATTCTCGACATTTTTCATTCCGTCTCTAAACGGTGTTGTTTCTTTTGTCGTTAAGATCTTGCTACGAAATCGTGCCACGGATCTTGAGGCTAGAATGGACGATGGTACCACACCGCTTATCCTGGCTGCAAGGCATGACTTGCCCGATCTCGTGCGTCACCTCATCAAAGCCGGCGTAAAGGTCAACAGTGCGGATAATCAAGGTGTGTGTGTGATCTGTAGTTTCTGATATCTTGGAGATTGATTTGAGCTTTCGCCGCGGTCTCTAAAACCGTTGATTTGTGTCTTGATAGGAAAAACCGCTCTGCATTGGGCTGCCTCCGTGAACAGCTTGGAAGTGACCAAGGAACTGCTGCGGAATGGCGCCAAGAAGGATGCTCAAGATGAAAAGGTTAGTTAAAAAATAACTTAATCATATTAACCCCGGCTAGTGAGTCGCTTATAACGAGACGGATTTTCCCCTTCTATTCTAATTCCGTTTTGTTATCTCTTATAGGGTCAAACACCGCTGTTCCTTGGGTGTCGGGAGGGAAGCATCCAGACCGTACGACATCTGTTAGTGAACTATGCTAACCGCAAAGCCGCGGATACTATGGATATGACACCGGAAGATATCGCAAAACAGAGGCATCATCACGACATTGTGGAATTGCTCACGGATTGGTCATTAGGCTGTAACTCTCCTAAGGCTGTGCCAGCCCCCACCTCACCCCCCGAAGGGCAAAAATCTCCACTCGCAGGTATGGCTTCTCCTCCTGCAACATCTCCACCAGCGGTTGAAATTCACAATGGCGGCGCACCTTCATTGGTGGCTCATTTCCAACCGGCGCGTCCCAAGACGACTGTCAACAGAGCACCTGGCACACGACCCAGGTCGACTGCTTCGGGAAGTAATAATAACAACAATAATGCTAAACGGAAGCGGAAGAAGGCACGCCCCGATGAGGAAGTATACCCTGCCATGAGCACTGTGACAACGCTCTCGCCACCTAATTTGGTGACTTCTTGTGCTACCGGACAACAACAGGCGTTTTCGCCAAATTGTGTACCGATCACAAACGGACTTTCTCCTCTCGGGAGCACGGGCATTTCGCCCGCGGATTCGACTACCTTGTCGCCGCTTCAGGCTCCAAATTCGCTTGATACACAGCCGCCTTCACCATTAGAACCATTAGAAATATTGTCGCCGGACGACTTGGCGGGCTTGGAGGAAGTCCAGATCGGGTGGGACGATTTGCCGCTGGACGACATAGATCCTTTTAACGATCCTGCGGATATGTCCATGTGCGGGTTCCCTCCCAGCTCGACAATAGGGCCTTTGACCGTTGTGGACCACATTGTGCCCACTACTTCAGACTGTATGTACGTACCTAATGCAGCACCGCCTGTGAGGCGTGTGGTGGACCCCTTAGAGGGTCAGAGACTTTACTCTGTGCATAGCACGCCGGATCTGCACAATGGCGGTTTGCACCACCCTGACTCTCGGCCTCTAGTGTTTAATGGAAGAACTTGTCACTCTGCGCAGAAGGCTCCTAATACGACGCCTTCGCAACTGGCCTCGTATCAGGCTATTACGAACTCCAACATGTTTCCCGGCTGCGGCGGTGGAGGAGGAAACTTGATGCCGCCCAGAAAAGACTACCAAAATGGCGATTATTCGATGTACCATCAACAATTTCAGTTACATAACCACCAACTTGTTTATGCGGGCGGAGAAAGACTCCCTTCGCAGCCACAAGCTCGCTCGTTTGTCAACGGCTACGAGTCGTCACCTCAGAAGTTTGTTTCGTTCCCAACCCCTTCCCCTGATTCGCCGGGGCAGTGGTCTTCATCATCGTCATCGTCTTCGTGCTAGTCAGTGTATGTGTACTTTACTTGTTTTTACCATGACTTCATTGTCCAGTGTCCAGATGAGAGTCGCCACAATAGATGTTACACTCCGTTGTTTCACCCTGTTTTCATTTGTTAGTGGAGCCAGGACCCCAAAGCGTATTAATTAATAAACTTTTACTTGCAGTGACGAGTAGTCACAAACTATAGGTCTCCCCTTTGGACTGTCACACAACACTTCGGCAGAAACCTTGCGTGACCATCCAAACATCAGTCTCAAGTCGCACAAACTAAGTAGCACATTTTTTTCGCTTCCACTTTTGTTAAAAAGTTATCCTTCTGATGTGTAGCGTTGTGTGAATTTTGGCCGTTGTCTAAAGGCAGTGACTATTTCATGCGCGCTTATGTGCGATGCTGCTGTGAAATTGTTTTTTTTTTTGTAACAAAAAAATTTAATATGTTTAATGGTTAACTCCACTAACTGTTGTAGTTAACTTTCTCTAAGAGGTAAAATTGTGTTACAATGAAAAAAGTTCGTTTGGTGAAACTGCCGTGTTTATTGTATACAATAATGTTATTAGTCCCGTCGAGTTATTTATCAATACTACTGTATTTTAATGTTATAGTTATTACTTACAACTGTTCGTACACCGCGGAATTTTTTTTTTTTTGTGGCGAGTTCAGGGGCGGAGAAAAACAAACGGACACGTCTAATTCTAAATTATTTTAATCAACGCAGTAACCAGGGGGCAACGTTTTACAATTTATCTCACAACCCTGTTCAGGCCTGTTGTGTCAAACGGGTTCAGTTTTTACAGGAGACGTTAAAACTGATTTCACAATAACGGACAACAAATCTACTGATGAACACAGCTTTGATCAGTGTTTCCGGCGAGATAATAAGCTGTTGTGGTATTTTAGAGGAATGCAAATGCAGTGAGTCAATACTGCTCCTAAACTAACAAAGCACACATATATGATGAGGTTGAAAGGTAGCTGCCTTTTTTTTTTAAAAAAAAAGAATTGCAATTGATTTATAGACGAATAATTGAATTTCATGTTGGAACTAAACACATAGAGCTATAGAAAAGTTTAATATATTTTTAAGATGTAATTAGGAAATCTTAAGACTGTAAATACATTTTTTGTACATTGAAGAACATTTATGCCCCACCGTTTCGCCACTCGTTTTCGACAATATACTCGAGGTATTTTGAGTTCCTATCACAAGTATAAGGGTTTTCAAGTCGGTTTTAGCCATTGTCATGACCGATGGGTTGCTTCTGTACTAATCCCGTATATTATTTTTATAACTTTTACCTGGAATTCATTAAGTAACTGTGTTATAAACGATAACAGAGTATTTTGGGATGGAAATAAAACCTTGAATTGCATTAGAAAACATACAGGTGTGTTTTTCTTGTTGTGTTTCACGAGAATAGTGTATTTGTATGATTCCACTAACAATTTAATTGTGCGGAATGAAACAAAAATCTGAACAATTGTTTACGCTTGTGGCTCTGTATTTGGACATTCGCCCAATTTGAGAAACCTAGCAGACAATAACAGGTTTATTGTCGGCCTTAGGGAGCACGCTACAATTCTCAATTAGCGTGAATATGGTTTGTGGCCATTTGTTGTTAAGGAAGTTCGTTTAGAAGGGCTTGCGACGTAATTAGTTCCTTTCGTAGATACTGGGCGTTGAAACAGGGAGGAAAAATTACGTCAAAAAATCGCATAAATCTTAGTGTCAAATCAGAATCTTGGTATGCATGTTTATGAAGGAACATCGAAACAAAAGAAAATGAATGAGTTTGTAAATATTGACGGTTCGAGTGGCCTCGTGGCGTTAAAACCCGTGGGAAAAATGCATTTTGCACCTTCCCACACACTTCTTTTCTCGTGCTCTATTGTGCGGACCATCTGGTCCGTAGCCAATCAGACGGCGAGTTAGCGCTTGAACGGTGCAGCACGTGCAACCAAACAGCGCGTGTTGTTCGAAATATGGCGATTTCTTTGTCAAAACACCGGCTGAACAGCAGGGTTATGAGCTGAGTGGTGGATCGCGTGAAACAAGGTCTTCTATAACTCACCGTCGAAGGATCCTTTATTGCGCGATGAAAGCATAATTGGCTTTGTTGAGAATTAATGATGTTTGCCGCATGAGAGGAGGTTACTGGTGCGCAACAAACCGGAACTGGGCTACTTTAAATCTATGCAAATGTGTTGGAATCCAAGCGACGTTTTGTTTTGTTGTTGACGTAAATTACCCCAAGGAAAGTAGCGAAATGAGCTTCCCTGTAAGTATGTAGTTTCCAGGTTTAATCCGAATTGGTTAGAAGTATTTTACGGTGCACGTTTTTCTGTTGGGCGTGCACAGGTAAATATTGGTCCATATCTTATGGGCGCGACCCATGCAATACTGTCATGTTATTGACTGACGACCCGCAACTCTATAAAAAGTAACCTGACAGGGGTTTGTTAACTTTGCGTTGTTGACTTGTTATGACATTCTCGAGCATCTTGTACATGTTTGTGTGTACGACATGAACACAGAATCACTTCACAAGCGAAACTTGATTAAAGAACTTTACAGGCCTTTCTAAAGAGAGTCTTTCATTTGCCTGAATTTTACACACAAATACTTTATGCGTTTTCCCTCATGCTGAATTGTGATTGTTTCTGTCAACTGATTGAAGATGACTAAAAACGCTTCAACGATTTCAAATAAAAGGCACCGGAGCAGAACACTCAAAACTGTTGAGATACTTGCAGTTGACGCTGATTTCTCAGCAGACATCAACTTGTTAGTCACGTATCTTAGAAAGTGTACGTGGCTGAGTGTCGTAGGAAACCAAAATCTCTTATGACATGTTATAGCCGTTTTGCAGTGACTTGAAACCTCTCGCACTACGTCTAATGAATGAACCTCGGTCTGTTGAATTCACCAATCAGAGCTCCAAGCATGATATGTACAACTTTACGTACTCTGGAAGCGCGGGAAAGTCTTGGTCTTGCAGCTGATTGGTCGATAGACTCGAAGACAACAAAAGTGTGTCTTGCAACTTGTGGTAGTGACAATAAAATAGGCTATTCTTAAACTCTAGGCCACATTAATGACTTAAAAACGACTCTGTTATAGCTCACCGCTACTGTTCCCCTTTGATAGATTTAAGCTTTCCATACACGAAAAGATGAAAGATTACGACAACGTGGAGGTTTTAATTTCAGCATGCTCTAAAATTATACACGGTGAAGAAGCAGACCAGTAGTTGCATAACCATTCCAATAATGTTATTTGTGAGAGACGATGGAATTCGATGCTAAATATTTTGTGGAGCGTAGTGTTATGATGTTTCCTTCTCGGAGAAGAGGACAGGAGTAGGGAAAAGGGGCAAACCTGTTCCCATGGCCGCCCCCCTAAGTCAGGGAAAAGGTCATGGGAGCGAGACTGGAAAAGGGCGGGAAGTTCTTCCGCTGGGATAACGCACAATGCATTTAAGTTTTAGATCACTTTATAATTGAATTTCCTTATAATCCGATTTCTTCGCTTTTCAGAAGACAACTTTGACCAAATAACTACTTCAACAAAACAGAGGGATACATTTATTTCAGGCACAGGCAGAGTTTACTGTACACCAGACACCGAAGGGCGGGCAGTTGCGTAAAACTTTAGTTCATCCTGAAGCAACAAAGTGTAAATGAGCCGGATGATATTTTCATCGCACGCTGTTTGTTATCAAGAGCCTGCAAACTGTTGGCAGGTGTTCGCGAGCTACTCTGAGATCGTGCCGTTGAGAATTCTTTGAAAAAAATCAAACAGAGCTATACAGCGTCCGGAGGACTATTTCCTGAACAAGTGACTGGAGCAAGTCGTGTTTTCAGAACATGCGAGGAATCTGAACGCGAGACGTTCATCCCGATTTGAAAATATCTTTTCAACACCCTCCCTTGGAGATAAGCAGTTAAAGGTTTGATTTACTGTTCCTTATTCGACAAACACATTTGCTGATTTCAGTGCCAATTGTCTCTATTGTCAGAAACTAAAAGAGGTGTTGTCTTTTCCGGTCGGAAAGTAAACTGTACAAATAAATCGGTCATTTTTCAGCTGACGTCACCTATTCAGATACACTCTTTCTTTCCGCCCTACATGTCTTGGGTTGAAGCACAAGTCTGATCAAGGTATCGATTCCCCTAGCTTGCAACATTATACACGTGTATTATCAGGTGAACCGGTGCGAAGATTATAAAAAATCATAGGTGATGTCTTGATTTGCTATTAAATTCTGTAGAAGTAACATTGAAGAACATTCCTAGCAATCGGACGGGAAATTAATGCTTTGATCTTGGGACAATGGAAAGTAGAAAGGAAGTTATCTTTGGGCTCCTATAAGGATTACAGATTTCCTCGGAAGGACTAACATTTCACTTTCGGAGGGCCGTGGGACGCAATGACACTATCTCAAAAAGTGATACTTTTGCGGTTTTTAATAATGGTGCAACTGATACGCCTTATAGTTCGCCTTATCAGTCAGTAAATTCAGTATCACACTTCCGCGCGCTCTCACATTGCATTATTCACTGTCAAAGTTTCCCAGTTATACAGTCCGTTTACTGATAAAACTCTGTGTCAATTTTGTAATCCTCTTTTCTTATTTCCCTTGTTCATTGTGGTCTAGTTTCCTTTTCCTTCAAACCTGAAATTCAAGGCCATTGTTTATGGTTCATGCACCAGTTTATTCCTTGATTTCATTTGAAACAAAGGTGCTTTGTTTCTGAATGAAATGAAAGTTAAAACCGCGTGTGCTACAGCTGTGACAGACAATAAGTTATTTTTACAAACAAACGGCTACTTTGCAGGACAGGTGCAAAGGAAGACCTGTACAAAGATATTTCACGTGATTATTTCCTTAATCTAGCGTTTACGTTTAATCGAAGAACAAAGCGTGCTATCTTTCTTGTTCGTGATCACGTGTTAGCTATGACGTCGCGTGAGACTTGCTTATTACGGTTTGCGCATCTTGAAAAGCCAAGCCTAAATCTTTAAAGTTCGTTTGTTTGTAGTACGTGTTTATCTTATCCATCCTTAACCATTCCTGTTCCTTTATGGATTATTATTTATTTGGTGTTTATCTATCTTGGTAAACTACTATTTTCAAGTTTCCTTCAATGTAAAGGTAATTTTGTACATGGCCGCCAAAATAACTCAGAATACCATGACTGGGCTCCTTTAAGGCTGCTCTCCATATGATCGCTTGCATCACTGCAAAAAAGTTCAACGATTGTTGAGATCATATGAAAAACTCTCCCCAGAGATCCTATATAGCTGTCCACGCGATGAAATATATACCAGAAATCAATGCATCGTTGTTTTATCCAGGTCTTGTGAGGCATTGTTTTAAATCCCGTATCAATCATGGCGATTATATGGAAAAGGTGGTCTTAAGGATCGCTTAACTTTTTCTAGAGTGATCACAGTGATCGTAACATCGTAACATGGGGACTAGGGAACTAGGCATTACGTTCTTTCAAATATAACAAGTGCTTTACGAGTTGCATGTTACAGACAGTGGAGAAAAACAGAGGGGACAAATGTTTTGTAGTCTATTTTGCGTGTCGTAAAATTCTTGATATGTATTCCTCAAAGCTTTCGTTCCCTTTTTGTGAGCAAAGCAATTTAGCCTCTGGTGCCTGAGCATGGTTATTCTACTTCGCGACTAAGACTTTCATTATTAAGGCTAGTTTTGATTAGCGACGGGGTCGTAGTCGGAGTCGTAGTCAGAAGAGTAGAGCGATGCGATGTAGTGAAAATCAAACCGACGGAGTCGGAAGCATAGTACCCATTCCGCTTATGACTCCGTCGCTTATTTACGATCCAGTGGAAACTGGATTGTTGGAGTCGGAAGCATAAGCGGAAGAACAAACCAACAACAATGCCCGATTCCGGGCCTTGTGATTGGTTGGTTCTTCTGCTTCTGCTTCAGACTCCGACAATCTAGTTTCCACTGGATCATAACCGACGGATTCGTAAACGGAATCGGAAGAAATGGAAACGTTCTGATTCTTCCTATTATCCTATATAAGTATCACTGTGTATTCTATGTTAGGTAATAGCTTCAGGGCTCCTATTGATAGCAGAGATGCTTTGTAAGCTCCCTGAAGGGTCTACCTGAAAATTTTACCTTTAGAGTTTTTTACTTTTAAATAAAGGTGTCTATTTATCTTATCTTCCGACTCCGATTCCGCTGAGCTTATGACTCCGGTCACTCCGCTTACTCCACTCCGGTTTTTGATTTTCACAAGGTCGTAAGCTCTTTTACGACCACGACTCCGACTCCTAGTGAAAACCAGCCGCAAATCTATTGAAGCGATATAATTTAGTATTCGGTGGAACTAAAATACTTTGGTTCGGAGCTCTTTCCTCTACAATAATAGTAGTTAAACACCTTCAAAATCTCTCCATCGTTCATGACGTTTAGCTATCTCCTCAACGACAACGGAGGCAAAGGAGAGAGAGCCTGGGAACGAGATTATCTTTACAGTCCACTGGAGATCCGAAATGACCATGTCTGTTTCTTACTCTTCTCCGTGTTACGTTTTTCACAATTTTGTCAAAGTTGTACCTTATCTAAGTTGTCTACCTAGTACTCGACTGCGAAAAGTCTCGTTCTTTTCCTAGCCTACCAATCGAATACACGAATGCGAAGCAAATGAACAATGATGATTGAGTGGTTTCTTTGCCCAATTTGCATATTTTTAATTTTCCTATCGCACAGAGGATTTCAGAAAAAAAAAAGCAAACAGAGCGCTCGTAGCGTAATCTAGCCTAATACCTGTAAGGTACATGTATAGGAGCAGCATGAGATAAAACAGTTATTTGCACAATATTTTGCTGTGGTATACGGGGAAAATATATGCAACGGATAAACTGTAGAGGACTGGACACGACTAGGCCTAGCTGAATCTCAAGCATTCTCGTCCCCAGAGGCCGCGCTCCTTTTGGTCTGCACCAAGAATCGAGACCTCTGAGATCGACCTCTGGGAAGGTCCAACACCGGAAGTCCGCGATTCACGGACTTCCCGTCAATCTGCGCATGCTCAGAGTCAAGTCTGAAAAATCCGATTGGCTGAGAATACGAAAGGATTACTCTGCGTATGCTCAGAAATTTGGACCTTCCCAGAGGTCGCGATTCTGGGTGCTGACCAAAAGGAGCGCGGCCTCTGGGGACGAGAATGAAACATTCGACACCGTGATCACGCCTCTTTCCGCCCCAGACTCACACAACGCGCGCGTGACGCTTTCATCAATAAATACGTACGTGTCCGAGAATTAACTTTTTTTTCGCTTTTCTCGAGACGTGAGCTTGGGACGCCTGTCATCCGACTATGAGAGAATGTACCCGAGCTCTTACTGCAAGTATTTCTCATCTATGTAGTAAATATTGAAGTTGTCTCACCAGCAATTCAAGAGGCAGTATTCTCTCAGCATTTGCTTGGGCACTTCTGTTCAATGAATCAACTAAACAATGAAGAGAATCCAGAGCAACTTCAAGACAAACGATGAAGTTCTCTGCCATGTTACGATCTGCGTGCGGATAAAATCTTTATCAATCATCCAAAAGACGCATTACTGTTTCTAGAAGTTCAGTCGTGGGAGAGCAGTAGCAAAAAATAAATAGATCACCACAACAAGACATTTCACCACTGTCGGCGATTTCTAGGTAAAGTAATTTACGTTGCCATCAAACATGAACAAGCCATTGTGGCATAACGCACTTTTCGTGCTGGCATATACAACGTAATTTGCAAGACCTGCAGGTTCTTGTAGGACGCGTATATTTGGGCATATATTTCGCATATCCCCGCGCTTGGGTTTACGCAAATATGTGGGTGCGTATCTACGTGATCTAAATGGTCCTGTATTTGGGCTTAAAGCCCATACGTAACGCGTGTTAACAAGTACACGCGGCAGAGAAACCCGCATATACCCTGTCGTAATTTTCAAACGAATGGCCAACCATAAAAACCAATATCACCTTTCACCACTTTCTCAAAGCGAGTCTTGGTGCTCATCCTTTCATGTGATCAGGCTACCTGGGCTGCCTGGCCTTAGCGCCTAGTTGACGGAGAAAGACTCAAGCCCAGATCAGAAGGCTGTAGTGTGTTTGCCCATTTTAATTTGATACTTTTGCTTTTAATGGACATTTTTACCGTTGACACGCAATATTAACACTTTTTCGTATTTTACATACAAGCAAAAAAAACCCTGCACAGATCAATTTATCATGCCGAATTTAGTAGATATGCAAAGGTTCATAAGAATCTGTTGCAAACTCATCAGAATATGGCATCCAAAACTTGCAATTTTTTCAGAAAAATGGATGCCAGGGGCAAGCGTTGCCCCTGTGATACATTTCTCTGAAAAGATTGGCAAGTTTGGGATCCCATATTTTTATGAATGCGCAACGGATTCTTATGAAACTTCGCATAAATCCTAAATTTGGCGTGATAAATCGAGCGGTGAGGCTTGTTTTTTGTTTGAACGAAAAATTCGAAAACCGTGAGATCGGTAACAAGGACCGTTTACGCAAGGTATACTGTGTATCTTAGAGTCGTTTTTGCTAAAATGGCCACCTTGTTCCGGGTGGTAAATTGAGAGGAAATGAAAGGAAGCACTGACTTAAATGTCCTTTTATTCCCCCAACAAGTATTTTTACAAGACCGTATATTTTTTTGTTGGGCTCAGAATATCTTTAGAGTCTTTCAGTAGTAATTTCTAACCCTTCGCCCCGGTTACTGGTTGTGTTCCACATCACCTTGAATCAGGATAGAGTTTTACTTTTCAGTAAGTAACATCAAAGAAGGAATTGATTTACGATTTACCTAACATTCAATTTGTTCAAAATATATCAAAAAAAGAGAGAAAGATTCTGCGAATTAAATCTGAGAGATGTTGCTATGTTGGGGAACCTGTGTTAAAAGTTTATTTCTAGTTTTTCGTACAGACGAATTTAAGAAAAAAATTTACTTCATGCCATGCCACACTCTTTGTTGAATGCAGAAACATGAAAATCCTCAATTTTCGCGATACGTTCAGTGGCGGATCCAGACCTTAAGCCAAGGGGGAANGGGGGGGCGGAGGAAATATGTTTAGTAGGCTTGTGTCATAAATATATTCTTGACATTTTATCCGGTGTATAATCCTTAGTGTTACTGAGGTGAATGTTGTGGGCTCCCTGTGGTGAAAAAGAAGCCAATTGAATATTCCAATGAAATTGAAGCAATGAGCACAAAACCTTTCCAAAACTAATTCTTGTCGTTTTCTTTTTCTCGAGGTTTGCAACTGGTTTCTGGTAGCCATTTTCATGCTTGAAATACACGGAATGTACGCGTTCAGTGGAACTCTGCAGGTTCTAATTTTGCCTGTCTGCGTTAAAAATTTATCGCTTCAGAAGTACTCCGATTGTTTTAGCATAAATGGACACCTACAAAGTTGTGCTACTGCGAAAAATTGGCATTTTTTTCAGTCAGACGGGCCTCTCTTGATTGTCTTGATTGTTTTGCAAGAAAAAAGATCGTCGAAAATTTCAAACGAGGAGCGAAAGTGGCGGGGAAAAGCGATGACGTCACGATAACCGCGGGCTCATGTTCGAGTCGCATGACTCTCGCATCTTTTTGTTTTGAAAGTGGAAGCATTGGCTCCTAACTGTGTAATACTAAATTAATACCTGATTAGACTCTCTTTTGGATTGAAAATGAACTACTTCGCTTAACAATCATGGTGTTCGAGTCGTACGTGGTCGATCTTCTCAACAAGTACGCCGGCCAATACTTGGAAAATCTTGATTCCTCGCAGTTGCGTCTTGGGATTTGGGGAGGTGGGTCACAAAACTAATCAGTGCTAGTTGCAAGAAATTTCAAATATTGTAATCGTGATTTACTTTTTATTCAAACTTATTGTCTAAAATAACGTTATGTTTACGTTTGCAGGAGATGTTCGACTCGAAAATTTGATTTTAAAGGAGAGCGCCTTAGTAAGTGTATTTTATTCGTTTAAATACTCCTGGTTGTTCTTTCTCATTTAAAGTGCAGATAAGACTTGAGGTTATTTTAAAACAGCAACGGTGGCTGAAATCGCAAAGGGATTTAAAAATAGTTTGGAAATATCTAGCTATAAACTATAAAAGCTCGTAGACTTCACTAGAAACAAACCCGCATACAAGCCCACATACAAACCTACAGTTTGTATTGTCTGCGAGTGTCCGGACATGTCTACCACAAACTGGAGGACCCTGGAGATCGAATGGCTAGATTTTTCCAGCAAAATTAAAGTTAGGTATACGTCTTTGCAACCGGTTGAAAAATAATGGACACGTCTAGAGTTATCTCTTCATTCAGACGTGAAAGCTTGGTGTGCAAATAACCTGTTGACCTGTTATCTTGCCACGAGTTGTACTAAAGCTCTATACAGTATTTTTTAAGGGAATACCCTAAGTTTAATGTTATATAGCTTGTTCAAGTCTTGGCCACGACTTACCTGAGCCATTTATATTTGCATTTTACTTTCCTTCTGTAACACGTTCGGTTTTGTCCACTATCAGGAGACGTACAAACGGCTCTTCAGGAGTCAATAGAAAGTG